AGCCAAGCTTAAATTGTTCGAGAAAACAAACGTGTGAGACTTAATAATTTATAGTCATAAAAATTGAATAGCTCGTAGTAATTTCACTTTATTCGCATAACAAGTCCTTGATGAAAAACTTGAGTTGTTGGTGTATTTCATAATTTTATGTTGGTTCGAGAACGACATTAGATACGAACAGATGTTGCGAGTAAAGTTGCCCTGAAATCGTCTGAAGAAACAAATATAAAGTTTTCGGTGTAAAAACTGGGTCACAGTCGATGGAACGTCAGTATCTCACGTCTTTATGGACAATGGATTGTTCAGAGAGGATGGTTTGTCGAAATGTGTAAAGTCGTCGTGGCCTAAAGGATAAGACATCCGGTGGATTCGTGTCTATCGACGCAACGATGTTCAAATCCTGCAGGCGGATACCAATTTTTCTAATGAAATACGTACTTAACAAATGTTCACGATTCACTTCCACGGTGAAGGAATAACATCGTGTAATAAAAATCAAACTTGCAAAATTGTAATTTGTGCAATTACTGGTGGTAGGATCTCTTGTTGGTCCGCACGGGTAGGTACCACCATCCTGCCTATTTCTGCTATGAAGCAGTAATACGTTTCGGTTTGAAAAGTGCGGCAGCCGTTGTAACTATACTGAGACCTTAGAGCTCATATCTCATATCTCAAGGTGTGTGGCGGCGTTTACGTTAGAGATGTCTATGGGCTTTGGTAACCACTTAACACCAGGTGGACTGTGAGCTCGTCCACCAATCTATGCAATAAATAAAAAATAAATAAAACTGTTCATTCATGATTTTAATCAGAAGATAAGAGGAGTTACCCCTACTTCTTCATCAGTCCGTAGTTGCAGCAACGTCATCTTCTTTGCCTGCCTGATTTCCAACTAAGTCTTATATTTAGTTAGATAGATTAGGGTATATTTAGTTAGAACCAAAGTTGCTGAAATAGCCCATAGGATTAGCAAGCTGAAGTGGCAGTGGGCTGGCCACATAGCGCGAAGATCGGACGGCCGATGAGGCAGAAAGATCCTCGAGTGGAGACCACGTACTGGCAAACGCAGTGTGGGACGGCCACCTACCAGATGGACCGACGACCTGGTGAAAATTGCTGGGTCACGTTGGATGCAAGTGGCAACGGACCGGCCGCACTGGACATCAGTTGGAGAGGCCTATGTTCAGCAGTGGACAGCAGACAGGCTGAGATGATGATGATGATGATGATATTTAGTTTTGAGTGTATGTTTTGATCGCGTATAGGTTGCTTTACCGTCGTTACGTGTATGTTTACTGAAAAAAGATCATCCATTCCGATTTGAGGAGTGAGGCATTCAATGGAATGAATGCCTTAAGCTTAAGCAAAAACAAATAATAACTGATCCACAGTTGTAAAAAGATTCTTATTTAATTAAATTAGAGCTTTTCGAAATCTTTCACATTATAATTAACTTCACTCATTGTTTGTGTAGCAGAGATAACGTTTATCGATAAAACTATTCATTATACTTTAACCTTTTGTTGTAATCTAAGCGTGTAAATATTTCTAATTCAAATGCCAATAAGTATTCTAATTTTTAAATTTCTTGAAGTCTAACTCTACATATTGTGAAGTCTGCTATTGTTGATTTTTAATATACAAATTGCTGTGAACTATTAAATTATTAAAGAAAACAAAACTTTAACTACGATTGGTTCTCATAATATTAATCTTGTAACTGTGAGTTACTTGAACTACGTAGGTATATAAAACGGGGTAAGATACGTAAGCGTTCTGTTCGAGTTATTTCTTTAGTTAATTTTCTGAATCGTTGACGTATGAAATAAGTTGTCTGCCTCTGTAAATATAGTTCTGGGCTCCGGGAATATCTTCTGAATAAATTTCATGGTATTGCATCCATTTAAAATTATATCTAGAACGTTATATATTACCCGATAACTTTGATCTGGTTTTACTATTGCCTTTTAAAATACGATGGGGTGCTTTAATAAGAATTGTATCAAAAGCTTCTTTATTTTATTTTATAGCTATCTTAAATTGATGAGTTGGTGATTATATCGGCATCATATTTATTTTTATTTGGATCGGCTAATCCGAATAGGAAGTAGTAGAATATAGAAAATTTGTCTTCATTTTAGTAGCGTACAATTCTCAAGCTCTGATAAGCTGATATGAAATTAACAAAACCGTGGAAAAGTATGACTAAAATACACCGGTATTTTTACAAAAAAAACAAACGTGTGGCACTCGGGAACTGCCGCGGTAAAGCTATTGCATAGCATTTTTTATCAACTTATGCAATTATAATTAGACAATGATAATTTAATATTAAAACAATAATAAAACAAGACCACGCTATATTAAACATTAATTAAAGCAAAACCTTAACTGTCCCCTTCACACTCATAAGCTAGACCGCGCGAGATAGAGATGGGCAGACTTTTCATGATGCGCATGCAGTGTGACGTCACGCCACGCGCTTATTCACAAACACTACACAAGCGCAACGTGTGAATGTGTTGAACGCGAGCTACATGGTAGGCGGAGTGAGGGGTGTTAGGTTTTTTTCGTTACGTAATTTCATGATTCGGTCGCCGCGCTCAATGCCCGCGATAAAAGCTATGCAATAGCTTAAAAATTGTTAATGAGCTACTATTTATTAGAAGGAATGCAAAAGACTGCGAACAAAATATAAAAGAAAATTAAACTAATTTCCTTGCCCTGTCTCAGCTTGTTCGATGGGGTTCGACGTTCCTAATTGCATCGTCGAACTTCTAGCAAATTGGTTCCCGTTAATTGATTGGGATTTGTGATTGACTGCAGCGCGATTATACTGCAACTCAGTTGTTGTTGCACAGACACGTATTTAGATAATACAATAGCTAGGTAGACAATTAGCATTTTGGAATTAAACATTATTTAAGGTGATTATCGTGAAAATTTGAGGCGAATTCAAGGAGGAGGAGTATTTTACTGGTTCTTTAGTTGCAAATAAGGTTTTAGTATAAAATTTAGTGTGACGATTGAATCTATAATTATTTGTAGTAGCGATGCGACAAATATGTTATCATCAAGTATTTGAACTTGAATACAAATAGTATACAAGTCAAACTAAATGAGAATTTTTTAGATGAAATTAAGATCAGAAGAATCATCGACTTTTCAATGAAAATTATTTTGTAGAACAAAAACAATTAGCAACAAATAATTTAAAAATCTGTTTGTTTTCTTGAATATATTATGAAATTAGGAACATTAAGTTAATTTAAGAACATGCGATCTAAGTCGTTCATGACGCCATAAATTCAGTAAATATGCAAATTATATTTTTTAGGGATTCATTATTTTTACATGATGTTATCGCTTTCATCATGGATGTTTCTTGTAAACGTGAGCTAAGTAAGTACGTTAGAAAAATCGGTACCCGGCTGCGGAATTTGAACTATAGTTTAGTCACGTCGTTCGATACACCAGGCGTCTTATCTTTAAGGCTGCGTCGACGACAAGTTGTACAAGTAAATAAATAAATGACCCGTATGTTCAAAACTACCTTATTGTTTAAAAATATGTTGATATTTATACTTAACTCATGGCCTGCCGTCTTGACGTTTTTTTCTTTTTTTTTATGATTAGATGGGTGGACGAGCTCACGGCCCACCTGATTCTAACTGGTTACTGTAGCCCATAGACATCTACGACGTAAATGCGCCACCAACCTTGAGATATAAGTTCTAAGGTCACAAGTATAGTTGCCGGCTAGTAACGGCTGCCCCACCCTTCAAACCGAAACGCATTACTGCTTCACGGCAGAAATAGGCAGGGTGGTGGTATCTATCCGCGCGGATTCACTAGAGGTCTTACCATCAGTAATTACGCAAATTAAAATTGATGGATTTCAATTCATAAGATAGCCTTAAATCTATAATACGTGAAGCAAAAACTTTGTACCCCTTTTTACGAAAATTGCGCGGATGGAGGACACTTGTAGAGAATATAGAGAGGGAGTGCACAATGCTAATATATTATTTAATTATTCCTAAAAAATTACATTAAATCAGTAAAAGGAACATGACACACACTACCATGTATTTGAGACACACACACACACATACACTCGCATACATACTTTTCGTTTAATGTCAAACTTTTGTTATTGCTATTAAATCTGTGCTTAAATTGAGAGTAGGTTAATATTATTTGTCTATAATGTAGTCTTGGCGTGATCTGTGATTATAAGTGTGAAGTAAAATAATAGTCTTTAACAATAGAACCATGATAATAATAATCAAACTTATAATTTCAATTAGCTAATTATAGTTTAATTTCGACTAGGGGACCACTAGTCATAACTAAATCTTGAATTCGAAAGATATGAAACTCCAAACTCATCCACTTTCTATACAAAAACTGATAAACTGCTGCTTAAAGTATGTCGAATGGATTTATTCATCACATCAATCAATATTACAAGGCTCGCCAACTTAATTATATGATAAATTATACTTATGTTTTTTGCGCTCAGTTAATGCATTCCGTTTCACCTTAATCATTCTGGTTTGTAGGCTGTAACAACCTCTATCCAATATATAATAGGTAATACAATTAAATATACATGGTGGTTGTATTATTGTCATGAAATGTAAAATATTTCTGTTAGTAAAAGTTATGATTTTTTTATTATGTTTCTACCAGTTCTACCGGTGCATAAATCTTACAACACACTGAAATCGCGTTGGATTTCCGCTCATGTCGTCTATCAGGAAATTTCACGTATTTAAAAACATATCCATTAATACGTGAAGCAAAAACTTTGTACCCATTTTTACGACTATTGCCCGGACGAAGGAGTATGAAATTTCCCACATAGTGATTATAGGGAAGGACTGCAGAAAGTTAATATTTTTTTAAATTATGCATAAACAATACATGAAATCATTAAAGAAAACATTACACACACTACCATGTATTTGACACACACACACACGCACACATAGTATTTGTTTATTATCAATCTTTTCTTATTGCTTATAGTCTGTGGTCAAATTGAGAATAAATTAAATATTGTTTGTCTTTATTACATAATATTTGTATAAAGTATAGTCTACTAGTTTTAATAAAGAGACATGGCAACCGCTTCACAGAACGGATCATATCCTATCCTTTCGACGTAGCTTTTTCCATTGTACGTGAACTGTTCGAACGATACGCGCAAATGTACGGTGAAGCCGAGTTTTTTTCCTATTTTTTGCGTCGCAATAGACGTCCAGAGTGCTTGGCAGAATTTTGGGTATTTTGTCGTAATATCACGGGGCTTCATGCTTGAATAATTTTGTCCTAAATCATCTAAAGTTAAGGATGAAACAGGACCAGTTTTCAGTTTCTTCGCGACTTCTATCGAGTACTTGCATAGAATGGTTCCAAGTTTTCTGTTTCTATGTGCACGTTGTGTTCCGAGAAACATGATTTCTAAGCTGCAATCCGCTTGGAATCTAAAAAATAATTGCAGTTTTAAAGATTATTTTCCGTTCATTGGCAACTTATCTTGGTATCGCTTATCGCAACATCTTAAAACAGATGTAAAATGGAAGCAACACGTATTATGTTACATTCTAAATATTAAGTTACTATGGCTGATTTAATGGTTTATCAGATAACAATCCTAACAAATTAGTTTTGACGTGAAACTCGTCGAAAACGTGACGTAATTTACGTTCGGAGATTAACAATAAGTAGCATCATTAGCGGGAACAAATTGTACAGTGAATGGACAATGATGGCAATTACCATTTGCATGGAAATTCATGAGTATGGCATTCATATGACTCTGTTAAGGTTGACTGTATATTTTCATTAGCTAATTTTAACAAACAAGCGCAAACAGAACCAAGTCAGAACCCGAGTTTCCATGGCGATTTTGTTTTTAAAAAATGAATCTTATTTGAAATATGAGAGCGAAAATATTTAGATACGTACTGATTTTTAAATAAAACGCAAGATAATTTTGTGACTGGAATACATAGAATGAGAAGTGCATTCGCTATTGAATCTCAAGGCTGATAAAAAGCCTTGCATTTAATACTTGAGTTAATACTTCTGTGATGTTTTATCTGTGAGATACTTACTTTACGTTTTAAATAAAACATATGTTCTACAATCAATAAGCTCTGAAGCATGATTACTGTTAGCTGTATGTTCCAGTATTATGAAAAGTGGGTCAACACTTCTTTTAATACAACGGATATAGTGGACTCGTCAGGATGGCAGACGATATTCACTTGGTATAATGTCTATGAGCTCTGATTACCGTCAAATTAGTCACAATAAAAGAATTTCACACACTTACTTTTCAAAGAAATTACATCTTCCGTCAACCTCGGCCATGAATTCTATTAGCGCACGAGAGGAAGTTTGTGTGCAACGTTCTTCTGCAAATATTTCGAAGAAAGGTTTTTCAGTTGAACTCGATACCTTGATTAACAAATAAAAATTTACAAATTATCTATTTATATAAAAATGAATTGCTCTTCGTTAGTCTCGCTAAAACTCGAGAGCGGTTGGACCGATTTGGCTAATTTTGATCTTGAATTATTTGTGGAAGTCCGGAGAAGGGTTAAAAGGTAGATAAATATGAACATTTTTGGAAGTACATAAAAATAACAATTTCGTTTTTCTTTGATGTGTCCCCCGTCCTTCCTTTTGTTTGTTTTAAGTTTATTTTATACAAAAGTTTAGGTATTTTATTTATCAATTGAGGCACTACGAAGTCTGCCGGGTGTACTAGTTGTTATAAATATGAATGGACGAAAGGCAGTGTGTAGTGGTGCGACGTTGATACATTTTAGCACAAGCTCGCTGTTTGGCTCAAAAGAGATGAGCAACGCTATGGTAGCCCAAGCTATTGATTGTCACCACCATTAAGCTCGATAGCGATGGGCCATATAATTCGAAGTTCCACTTCGGCTCGGCAACCTTTTGGGTGGAATTTTTATTAAGCTACCTGCCGTGCTTGTCCTTTCCGAATTCTTTCTCGGATTGGATTGAGTAGACGATAAACGCAGAAGTGCTTTGGTGAATGGTTCATTATTACATTCTACCCCGGTCGCATTAAGTTAAGTGATGATTCGGCGAATTTTTAAAAACCAGTGGACCCGCAGTATTCGAAATTCGACTATAATTAATTGAAATTATAAGTTTGAACATTAATATGGTTCTATTGTCTATCTATCTATCTCTTAGGTTTAAATAGATAGACAATAGAACCATGTCAAAGACTATTATTATATTTTTATAGTGACAGATTTCGCCAAGAAAGATAAACAATATTAACTTATTCTCAATTTGGCCACAGACTTTAAGCAATAACAAAAGTTTGACAATAAACAAAGAGTAGGTATACGTGTGTGTGTCAAATACATGGTAGTGTGGGTAATGTTTTCTTTATTGATTTAATGTATTTTTAAGCATAATTTAAAAAATATATTAACATTCTGAACTCCTTCTCTACATTCTCTATAAGTGTGGGAAATTTCATACTCCTCTGTCGGCGCAATTTTCGTAAAAAGGGGTACAAAGTTTTTGCTTCACGTATTAATATATAGATAGATGTGTCTTAGCGCATATAGTCTTCTTTAAATCTTTTTTAAAATAAAAATACCTGTAGCTTATTAAAAGCGACTGCTGCAACTTCTCCGCTGTCAACAGCAACGGCTACTAGAGATGCTCCATCTATAGCAGCATCAGCGCACAGCTCCAACAATTCCTCTGCTGCCAATGGAGTCTTGTTTACCTCTGTGCCAATGCACACGGACTCATCTTGACAAAAATCCTCCCTGATTATCTAAAACATATTATTATGATTGAAGAAGTCTTCATTGTCAGACTACTTTATTTTCTTAAGGGGCTATCTAATCGCAAAATTCAACTTAAAGTTTCAAATAACCTGGGTCTCTGTGATAAGATAAATGCTATTTACTGTATGTAGGTTAAAAAGAAAATGCTTAATAAAATTAATATTATAATTCTAAAAATACCCAGTGTAAAAAATAGCGCCTCATAATACTCCAATACTCAGTAAATAAAATATTGAGGTGTCAATCATTGCGGTTTAATCTAACACTAATTAGAATAAGTATCATACTTAGTGTCATCGGTTTTAGTGCTCACCTGTTTCGTGTCCCGGAATCGAAAACGAAACTATAGCTATCTCACATCACACAAGTCAGCTGTTTTTTGTTTCACAAAAGTGTGCATTTGTAAACGCTGTAGTGAATTATACATATCATAATAACTTTACTATAACTGCAAAACTATCTCAGATTGTGTCACAAAAACGAAATAAAAAATACTTGAATTTTTTAAGAGAAAATTGAACAAAGTGCGAACGTTTGTACTCACATCTAAGNGAGGCCTCTTCCAACCAGTTTCCTGATCAGGAGTATGGGTATACCGCCATTGCTCGGTCGCCAGAGCCTCGTTCGTTGTCTAGCAGGGAGCACCACGCCATCCCAGGGGTTGGCGCCGCTAGTTATTCTGAGAAGAACGACCAGCGCGGGCAGGTGAGGTTGACACTAAGGCCGGATAGATGTTATGCTCCGTTCTCCCCTTACTCCCCACTACTATTTTTATTTGGATCGCCTAATCCGAATAGGAAGTAGTAGAATATAGAAAATTTGTCTTCATTTTAGTAGCGTACAATTCTCAAACTCTGATAAGCTGATATGAAATTAACAAAACCATGGAAAAGTCCGATTAAAATAAACCGGTATTTAAAAAAAAATTGTTAATGAGCTACTATTTATTAGAAGGAATGCAAAAGACTGCGAACAAAATATAAAAGAAAATTAAACTAATTTCCTTGCCCTGTCTCAGCTTGTTCGATGGGATCCGACGTTCCTAATTGCATCGTCGAACTTCTAGCAAATTGGTTCCCGTTAATTGATTGGGATTTGTGATTGACTGCAGTGCGATTATACTGCAACTCAGTTGTGATTGCACAGACAGGTATTTAGATAATACAATAGCTAGCTAGACAATTAGCATTTTGGAGTTAAGCATTATTCAAGGTGATTATGTCGAAAATTTGATGTACTGAATCGTAAAAAAAAAGCTTTTGATTACTATTCAAAATAATATGTACCATCATTTTTTTTTTTTTTTACGAGAAAAAATGATACAGATGGCTGGTCGCGACGCTCAGCATTGAGGAATACGACGCAAGAAGGAGTCTTTTACTGGTTCTTTAGTTGCAAATAAGATCTTAATGTATATAAATTACATGTCACGTTGTTTGTCCGCGGTGGACAACTTAACACCTTTTTTTAAATATGTATTTTGTTGCAACTTCGGTCATGGGATGGTTTTTATTTCGATTAATGGTCGCTATATTTATTAATTAACAATAAAATAATTTCTTATGTTGGGTATTGTTATTAATTGTAAGTTTCATAAGTTTAAAAAATTCAAATAATTTCGTAGTAAGCGCAATACAGTGAAATCTAATTGTTCTTAGTTAGTTAATTTTTGGTATTAGCATAGCCGGCTACGTGTTAATTAGAAACAAAAAATTTAGCCACAGCAACGTGTGGCCGGGTCTGCTAGTTTTAGTGAAAAATTTAGTATGACGATTGAATCTATAATCATTTGTAGCTGGCATGTAACAAATATATAGGTAATCAAGTATTTTTGTCACTGTGACTTGAATACTACGTACAAATCAAACTAAATGACAATGTTTTAGATGAAATTAAGATCTGAAGAATCATCTACTTTTCAATGAAAATAATTTTGTAGAACAAAAACGATTAGAAAAATAATTTAAAAATATATTTATTATGTTGAATATAATATTATGAAATTAGGGACATTAAATTCATTTAAGAATATGAGATCTAAGTCTCCCATGACGCCATAAATTCAGTAAATATGCAAATTATATTTTTTAGGGATTCATTATTTTTACATGATGTTATCGCTTTCATCATGGATGTCTCTTGTAAAAGTGAGCTAAGTACGTTAGAAAAATCGGTACCCGGATGCGGGATTTGAACACTGGTATAGTCTCATCGCTCGAAGCCAGTCAACCAAGCGTCTTATCTTTTAGGCCACGTCAACGACCAATTATACAAGTAAATAAATAAATAATCCGTCTGTTCAAAAGTACCGTATTGCTTAAAAATATGTTGATATTTTCACTTAGCTCTTGGCCTGCCGTCTTGATGGATTTAAATTCATAAGATAGCATTAAATCATAATTAAATGTAGGATTCGAAAGACATGAAACTTCAAACTCATCCACTTTCTATATAAAAACTGATAAACTGCTGCTAAAGTATGTCGAATGGATTTATTCATCACATCAATATTACAAGGCTCGCCAACTTAATTATTCTGGTTTGGAAGCTGTAATAAATAACCCCTATCCAATACATGATAGGTAATACAATCAAATAAATATGGTGGTGGTATTATTGTCATGAAATTTAAAATATTTCTATTAGTAAAAGTTATGATTTTTTTATTATGTTTCTACCAGTTCTACCGGTGCATAAATCTTACAAGACACTGAAATCGCGTTGGATTTCCGCTCATGTCGTCTGTCAGGAAATTTCACGTATTTAAAAACATATCCATTAATACGTGAAGCAAAAACTTTGTACCCATTTTTACGACTATTGCCCGGACGAAGGAGTATGAAATTTCCCACATAGTGATTATAGGGAAGGAGTGCAGAAAGTTAATATTTTTTTAAATTATGCATAAACAATACATGAAATCATTAAAGAAAACATTACACACACTACCATGTATTTGACACACACACACACACACACGCACACATAGTATTTGCTTATTATCAATCTTTTCTTATTGCTTATAGTCTGTGGTCAAATTGAGAATAAATTAAATATTGTTTGTCTTTATTACATAATATTTGTATAAAGTATAGTCTTAACGAAATCTGTGATTATAGAAGTATTATATTCTTTGATAATAGAATCATAATAGTGTACAAACTTATAATTTCAAGTAATTATAGTCCAATTTCGACTACCGGAGGATCACTAGTTTTAATAAAGAGACATGGCAACCGCTTCACAGAACGGATCATATCCTATCCTTTCGACGTAGCTTTTTCCATTGTACGTGAACTGTTCGAACGATACGCGCAAATGTACGGTGAAGCCGAGTTTTTTTCCTATTTTTTGCGTCGCAATAGACGTCCAGAGTGCTTGGCAGAATTTTGGGTATTTTGTCGTAATATCACGGGGCTTCATGCTTGAATAATTTTGTCCTAAATCATCTAAAGTTAAGGATGAAACAGGCCCAGTTTTCAGTTTCTTCGCGACTTCTATCGAGTACTTGCATAGAATGGTTCCAAGTTTTCTGTTTCTATGTGCACGTTGTGTTCCGAGAAACATGATTTCTAAGCTGCAATCCGCTTGGAATCTAAAAAATTATTGCAGTTTTAAAGATTATTTTCCGTTCATTGGCAACTTATCTTGGTATCACTTATCGCAACATCTAAAAACAGATGTAAAATGGATGCAACACGTATTATGTTACATTCTAAATGTTAAGTTACTATGGTTGATTTAATGGTTTATCAGATAACAATCCTAACAAATTAGTTGTGACGTGAAACTCGTCGAAAACGTGACATAATTTACGTTCGGAGATTAACAATAAGTAGCATCATTAGCGGGAACAAATTGTACAGTGAATGGACAATGATGGCAATTACCATTTGCATGGAAATTCATGAGTATGGCATTCATATGACTCTGTTAAGGTTGACTGTATATTTTCATCAGCTATTTTTAACAAACAAGCGCAAACAGAATCAAGTCAGAATCCGAGTTTTCATGGCGATTTTGTTTTTTAAAAATGAATCTTATTTGAAATATGAGAGCGAAAATATTTAGATACGTACTGATTTTTAAATAAAACGCAAGATAATTTTGTGACTGGAATACATAGAATGAAAAGTGCATTCGCTATTGAATCTCAAGGCTGATAAAAAGCCTTGCATTTAATATTCAAGTTAATACTTCTGTGAAGTTTTTTATCTGTGAGATAAAACTTACGTTTTAAATAAAACTTATGTTCTACAATCAATAAGCTCTGAAGCATGATTACTGTTAGCTGTATGTTCCAGTATTATGAAAAGTGGGTCAACACTTCTTTTAATACAACGGATATAGTGGACTCGTCAGGATGGCAGACGATATTCACTTGGTATAATGTCTATGAGCTCTGATTGCCGTCAAATTAATCACAATAAAAGAATTTCACACACTTACTTTTCAAAGAAATTACATGTTCCGTCAACCTCAGCCATGAATTCTATTAGCGCACGAGAGGAAGTTTGTGTGCAACGTTCTTCTGCAAATATTTCGAAGAAAGGTTTTTCAGTTGAACTCGATACCTTGATTAACAAATAAAAATTTACAAATTATCTATTCATCTATACTAATATTATAAAGAGGAAAGATTTGTTTGTTTGTTTGTTTCGAATAGGCTCCGACACTACTGGACCGATTTGAAAAATTCTTTTTCCATTAGAAGCCGACATTGTCCCTGATGAACATAGGCTACTTTTTTAATTTTTTTTTTTATTATTTTTTTTTGTTTCATGTGTGTTTTAATGTTTCCGAAGCGAAGCGAGGGCGGGTCGCTAGTATATATATAAAAATGAATTGCTCTTCGTTAGTCTCGCTAAAACTCGAGAACGGCTGGACCGATTTGGCTAATTTTGGTCTTGAATTATTTGTGGAAGTCCGGAGAAGGTTTAAAAGGTAGATAAATATGAAAATGCTCGGAATTAAATAAAAATATCAATTTTGTTTTTGCTTTAAGATGCTACCGTTAGACGGATTCTATTTGTTTGTTTTATGTTTATTTTATACAAATGTTTAGGTCTTGTATTTATCGATAGAGGCACAGCAAAGTCTGCCGGGTCAGCTAGTTCTTACATTAAATATAGATGGACGAAAGGCAGTGGGTAGTGGTGCGACGTTGATACATTTTAGAACAAGCTCGCTGTTTGACCCAAAAGAGATGAGCAACGCTATGGTAGCCCAAGCTATTGATTATCACCATCATTAAGCGAAGCGATGGGCCAGAGAATTTGAAGTTCCACTTCAGCTCGGCAACCTTTTGGGTGGAATTTTTATTAAGCTACCTGCCGTGCTTGTCCTTTCCGAATTCTTTCTCGGATTGGATTGAGTAGACGATAAACGCAGAAGTGCTTTGGTGAATGGTTCATTCTTACATTCTACCCCGGTCGTATAAAGTTAAGTGATGATTCGGCGAATTTTTAAAAACCAGTGGACCCGCAGTATTCGAAATTCGACTATAATTAATTGAAATTATAAGTTTGAACATTAATATGGTTCTATTGTCAAAGACTATTATTATATTTCTAAAGTGACAGATTTCGCCAAGAAAGATAAACAATATTAACTAATTCTCAATTTGGCCACAGACTTTAAGCAATAACAAAAGTTTGACAATAAACAAAGAGTAGGTATACGTGTGTGTGTCAAATACACGGTAGTGTGTGTAATGTATTATTTATTGATTTAATGTATTTTTAAGCATAATTTAAAAAATAAATTAACATTCTGAACTCCTTCTCTACATTCTCTATAAGTGTGGGAAATTTCATACTCCTCTGTCGGCGCAATTTTCGTAAAAAGGGGTACAAAGTTTTTGCTTCACGTATTAATATACAGATAGATGTGTCTTAGCGCACATAGTCTTCTTTAAGTATTTTTTAAAATAAAAATACCTGTAGCTTATTAAAAGCGACTGCTGCAACTTCTCCGCTGTCAACAGCAACGGCCACTAGAGATGCTCCGTCTATAGCAGCATCAGCGCACAGCTCCAACAATTCCTCTGCTGCCAATGGATTCTTGTTTACCTCTGTGCCGATGCACACGGACTCATCTTGACAAAAATCTTCCCTGATTATCTAAAACACATTATTATGGTTAAAGAATTCTTCATTGTCAGACTACTTTATTTTCTTAAGGGGCTATCTAATCGAAAAATTCAGCTTAAAGTTTTAAATAACCTGGGTCTCTGTGATAAGATAAATGCTATTTACTGTATGTAGGTTAAAAAGAAAATGCTTAATAAAATTAATATTATGATTCTAAAGAATACCCAGTGTAAAAATAGCGCCTCATTATACTCCAATACTCAGTAAATAAAATATTGAGGTGTCAATCATTGCGGTTAAATCTAACACTAATTAGAATAAATATCATACTTAGTGTCATCGGTTTTAGTGTTTACCTGTTTCATGTCCCGGAATCGAAAACGGAACTAGCTATCTCACATCACACAAGTCAGCTGTTTTTTGTTTCACAATTTAAAAACACTGTAGTGAATTTACGTATAATAAATAATAAATAATAACTTTACCATAACTGTAAAACTATCTCAGAGAGTGCCACAAAAACGAAATAAAAAATACTTGAATTTTTTAAGAGAAAATTGAACAAAGTGCGAACGTTTGTACTCACATCTAAGGCCCCGGGGAATGTCGCAGCTGTTAAGGATACAATCTTGTATTTCCCTGTAAAAGCGTAAAATTAAAGACAATGGAACTGTTTTTAATTTTCCACAAAATCTTTTGATTATTTTCCTTTCATAATATCCTATTATGTTTTATAACAATAAACATCGCGATACTTTTGTGTATGATAAAGTTCGTTCACCCAATAACCGTGACAATCACAACATGATATTTGACAAATTAGTAATAGTATTCAATTCAAATAGTACAAACGTGTTGGAATGCTTGAAAGTACTAGTATAAGTAGAAAAATAAGTAAGCCATACCATCATCGGTCGTGAACCACTCCATTTTAATTAAAAGACTAAGAATCTGAGCCGTTTATTGAATGAGACATGCGCACGCGTTGCCTACTGCGTTAACACTAAATAAAATGAAAAATCAACTTGCTGACATGTTGACATTGACAACATGGATAGTCTAGCGTGCACGATTCATTCATAATAGGGCTGCTCTTTTAACAAAACTATTAAATCTGTAATTTTTAATATCACGTCGAATTTAATGAACATTAAATTATTAAATTCATGATATTATTTCTTCTCGTTCTTCAGTAGCAGTTATGAACTCATTATTAAAACCTAATTTCACGTGATCCAATCTCTAATTCGTACTTAATATCATTTGGAGAACCAGTGTGAGCCATTATGATAAGTGTTTTTAACTCACGATCATGATGCTCACGAGTGGTGAATAGTTTTTTTTTTTATACAATTATTATTAATCGCTTCTAAATAAATAGATTAATAGAATAATAGCACGTTATTTACAATTTTAAATCCAAAGATGAGTGCGAGGTACTCATATTTGACTGCAAGAAGTGCAAGGCAAATATAACTGTAACGATAGCGTTATACATGTAGAATAGGGATCGCAGCGCATAAAATAAAAGTTATACTATTCCAAAATCTTATATTATAATAGTAATTAATAATTAACACTAATTTTATTACGTCTTACTCATTTTTTAACAGTCTTCGCCATCTTCCAATTCTCTGTCATTCTATATGTCATTCTCTGCTCCCTTTTTTTCCGTTTTCTCTCACTCACATCTTAACGCTCCGTTCCACACTCTATTCATACGTTCCGTTCTTACCAATCCTACATACATATTATACACTGAAAAAAAATTAAGTGGCTACTATTTAACTTTGTGGCAGCCCTAGTTTGTCCAGTGACCTTCGTATTATCATTGCTTACAAACTGGTTCTTGTAACGCAACTTGTTAGGTTGTCTTAACAATTTTTTTTCATTCTAAAGTATTCAGTGCTTTAACTAAGATTTCTCGAAATATAATTTCAAGATCTCTTAATCCAAATTTTCAGCTCGACATTATCGTTATTATTCTTGAATTGAATTAAATTGATTCTGCCAGAGAAAGAGATACAATACTTCTGAAAGTTTCACTTCTGCTGCATATGAATTGCACATATATTCTTGTTTAATTTAGAATCCATTCTTAGAGTCATTTGAAATCACAACCAACTTAGTCACATTAAAATTTGATACACAATTATGGGCAAAAAGGTTTTTGGTTATTGTTACAGTGAAGATGAACTAAGCAAGCTTACGGTATACTTGGTGTTTATCAAGCCCTAGCAACTATCACAAAGTAGTGAGACCGCCCTGGTTTGAGGCTTAAGACTCTATTGCATTCTAATACTGCTGTCCTACCATATAGAGGTTCTTACGCGCTAATGGCTACAACTAATGGATGATAGATAAATATGCATGTGTACTCTAAACAACAGTCGTATTAAATTAATATCTATTTCTATTTTATATTGACAGATATGACCTTGACAGCGAGTGGACAAAGTTCATTCATTTATTCAAGACATTTGCAGATAGAGGCACAAGTCCGCTACCTATCTGGCTGTTGTCAAATCTCATATTGAATAATGACATTTCTAAGCGCTCGGGAAGCACCTTAGAGTTTCATTCCTAAGGTGTACGCAAATGTTACGGTTCACAGTAAAATGGATATTTAGAAACGTGCAGTGAATTTGTGCAATGCTAGAGCAGAGTTAGAGCCAGTAACGAGGAATTTTACTTTTACTGGTAGTAGGACCAGCTGCAGATAGGAACAGATGGCGGTGCATTATAAAAAAAACAAACCGTTTCAAGGCTACGATCACGACCCTCAGTAATGAGGAAACCGACGCAAGGAGGAGGAGGAGGAGAGGACCTCTTGTGACACCGCACGGGTAGGTACCACCGCCCCGCCTATTTCTGCCATGAAGCAGTAATGCGTTTCGGTTTGAAGGGTGGGCAGCCGAGGTAACTATACTGAGACCTTGGAACTTATATCTCAAGGTGTGTGGCGCATTTACGTAGTAGATGTCTATGGGCTCCAGTAACCACTAAACACCAGGTGGGCTATGAGCTGGTCCACACATCTAAGCAATAAATAAATAATAAAAAAATAGCAGCAGATACAGCAGGGTGATAATACGTCTTTGCCATTAAACTAGAAGATGTTGCGACGTTAAAACGGATGACGGGATTTTCTTGACCTACTGTACTACAAGTACTGTAGTTCAAAAGAGAAGATAAGTAGACCCAGATGTTCCGAACTATCGCTGCGATCCGTCTGCTTAGTGCGAGTATTCTAACATCTTTATCACGTAAAAGTTAACTCAAATTTGTATGAAGTTAAAACAGCGTACCTACGTAAGAGAATTTTGACTCGATCGAGAAGTTAAAAAAATCGCATTGAGCAAACTGTAATATCGACAATTGGAGTGACCCACTTCTATGTGAACTAAAATAAATGTACGTCAATTTTACGGAGCCACTGCGGAGCGATCAGGTTCTGAATTATTTCATAATATTATAGGTATTTTGTAAACTTAATGTCGTATTACAAAGCCTCAGTATTCGAACTGCACTGAACAATAAAAAAAAGCGTATTAATGAGACTGCAGTTTAACTTGATTACCGCCAACAATGAATGAAAGAGTTGGAACAGTGAGTAAAAATCTATATATTAATACGTGAAGCAAAAACTTTGTATCTGTTTTTGCGAAAATTGCGCGGACGGATGAGTATGAAATTTTCCACACTTATAGAGAATACAGAGAAGAAGTGCACAATTCTAATATTTTTTTTTAAAAATGCATAAAAGATACATTAAATCAATAAAGAAAACATTATACACACTACATACCATGTATTTGAAACACACACGCGTATATACTATTTTGTTTATTATTAAAGGCTATGGTCAAATTGAGAATAAATTATTATTGTTTGTCTTTAATATTATATGTCTATAGTGCAGTCTTGGCGAAATCTGTGATTATAGAACTATATATAGTCTTTGACGATAGAATCATAATAATGTTCAAACTTATAATTTCAATTAATTATAGTCGAATTTCGACTACTGAGGTACCACTAGTAATTATTAAAATGACAATATTCATAATCATATAAACACGCCATTCTCGGCAATTCGATTAATCTGAATTTGGGTAAAAGCAAGTGCCATACACGAAGATAAAAAATAGGTACAATAGTAGTTGCTAGCATACAACAATAGTGCCTACGAAATATAAGAAAGTGCACTTTGTAAAAATTTATAAACTTAATGTACTTACCCTTAATACAATATTATCAGCTTCCGGACATTAAAAATCACGACTATAGCTGCTAGAAATAACCTACTCGATTATGACTTTTCCCGTAACACTCACTAACTCTGCAAAGTCACGTTTCATTGCAGAAATCAACAGCTTCCCACAATGTTTCAAGTTTCAATCTGCTTTGCAGCAATATGGCGGAAAAACAAACAATTTTCTATTTTATAAAAGTTTTCGCAAACTAAAGTAAATTATGTTTAAGAATGTAGTCGTATTCGTCAGTGAAACATTCTAACATTTTTAGTTTTTATTGATTGTCAACTTTTCAAAGGAAGATATATCATATTCATAACACTAGTGGTCCCGCAGTAGTCGAAATTCGACTATAATTAATTGGTATTGTAAGTTTGTACACTATTATGAATGTATTTTATACTTCTATAATCACAAATTTTGCCAAGACTACACTATAAAAAATATTAACAAAAACAAACAATATTTAATCTCAATTTGACAACAGACGTCAAGAACAAAAGTTTGACAATAAATAGTATGCATACGTGTGTGCGTCAAATACATGGTATGTAGTGTGTGTAATGTTTTCTTTAATGATTTAATGTATCTTTTATGCATTATTTAAAAAAAATATTAGCATTGTGCACTTCTTCTCTATACTCTCTATAAGCGTGGAAAATTTCATACTCCTCCGTCCGCGCAATTTTCATAAAAAGGGATACAAAGTTTTTGCTTCACGTATTAATATATAGATGATATAAAACATTGTGAAAGCTACGTATGCGTCAAAATGACTTACATTCAAAATATAATATTTCGAAGAGCGTGATGCCTCTCAATTGTTTTGAAATATCGTCACCGGCCCGAGGGTTGCTTTTGCTATTATATTTAAACAAGAAATAAAATAAATTTTGATGTGAGAAGTAAAAAGTTGAATTTTGATTAAGATTTTAGACTTCTTTTTAACAGAGCTCTTTATTCAAGCCGAAAATGTTACGTGGATATGTTTTAAAGGTGTTACAGTAAAATTTAAGTGTTCAGTAAAATCTAAAAGAAAAATAACCGAGGAAGCTTTTTTATAAATTAATTGGTCCTCTGTTTGTATCATCTTGTGACTGCATTATTTACACAAAACACCTTTTTTTGTGTATTAAGGTGGCAGATAACGGCAGCAATGAGAATGCATTCGTTTAAGAAGCATAATACTGTATTTACTTTGAAATAAAATTATTGACTGACAAAAAAATTTTTGAACCCAGTGATGAACCCATTATTTTTGATATTTCTGCAAACACATAGAATAATTATGATCAATGAATGAAAAATTTAAGTGTAAAAAACAATATATGCTAGTTTCCTATGAATTATAAAATAAGCGAAAAATAACAATCTCACAATAAATTTTGAGACCTTCTTTATTTGCACATTTGTTTTATTTACATAAAATACTATTATAGAAAATGAAAGTAACGTAATTTTTCGTATTAAAATCGCTCGTGGCGTTTGAAATAAGGGCAGGCCAAATAAACAAATACTCAAAAAATGCTATTTTCGTTTCTGGTATGATCGGATAAAAATCAAAATATTATCGCCCGTTACTGCATAATAGATCCTAACACCCCTAAAGCCTACATTCCATTAGCGATAAAAAATGAATGCGATTTTACGATTCGGTGCTCCTTAGCAAATTCTCCAGTCACCTCCATTATTCATGTGATGCCGCCATGATGTATTAGCCGTCATTNCCCTAAAGCCTACATTCCATTAGCGATAAAAAATGAATG